CGTCTGCCGAAGACAAAACTTAATTCGTTTACATCCATCTTTCTTGTTTTCTGCCCTGGAAAGGGTTTATTCGATTAACAAAATAATAATGAAGATAAACAAATTTGTGAAGGGTCCGATTAAAAGAAAAATCATTTTGTGAAGGGTCCGTTTTTAAGTTAAAATATTTTGTGAATGGTCCGTTTTTATGAAAAGATATTTTGTGAAGGGTCCGTTAACGGACCCAAATTTCCTCTAAACAGACCCCTGCATAAGTTGACATAAATAAATATTAACATAAATTTATACACATATTTATACATAAATTTATACTAATTAAATTTCTATATTTTAACTAGCACATATTTAATTATGACATACATTGAAGTTCATTCGAATACATTGTGGTAGAAATAAAAAACCGAGCTATTTGCTTGTGAAATAATAAAACAATGAAAAACTTTAATATGACAAATTGACGTTTTTACTTAACACTAGAAATATTGATTGTAGATTTAAATTAAAAATAAAGATAAAACATGATTTAATATGTACAGTAATTGATTTTTGAAAAATGAAAAGTATAATTGATGAATATAGATAAATCATACCTTGATACATGATAAAATAACATATTTGGAGAAAATGCGGTAAATATATTTTATCAGAGAAGTATTGCTCAATAAATACAGTAGAATTTTCAAAATAATTTAACATGCATAAGTTGATATACCTTCTTAAATTATGAAATATAATTTATATATGTTTTTTTTTTAAATAAAATAAAAGTGTCAGTTGCACTAATTTACAAGCATTGTAGGTTTTAAGTGATTAAAATATTGCACAGTTTTAAATTTCGTTACTAATTTATAAAAAAAATTTCAGAAGGCACAGCATTTGGCATGCCTGGTTATAACACGAAAACATTATGTCTCCAAAGCAGTTTTAATGGCGATTAGTGCATTTTACTTATTATTTTTATACATTTTTAGGACTTGCCAAATGGAAGACCAAAGCTTACTTCTACACTGTACAGACACAGCGTGCATCGTCGACGTGCAATTTTAGTTGACAAAGTATCAAGAGTTATTTTCCCATTGTCATTTGTGATACTGAATACTATTTACTGGTCTTTTTACCTTGAAATTATTTAAAGCTGAAGAGCTCTTCTCTCAACAAACTGAAACTAAGCAACATGTTGGAGTCGGGAATAATACACCACCGATAAATGTTGAATAACGGCGCTGTAACGATTGCAGACATACAGAATAAAGTGACTGAATAACTCTAAATGTAAACAGAACACTACATAACAATATACAATGTAAAAGAAAAAGGAGATTCAAGTTTAATTTTTATTTTTCTATACTTTCTTACTTTATCTGAGTCTGCTATTATACGAGATGTTAATAAAAATAATTAAAGATTAAAAAATCCATTGGGAAAAAAATGGAATTAGAAAGAAATGTAAGGTTTGACGCATTCCTTCTGAGGAAATCCGAGATTTCCTTTCTAATTTAAAAAGTATAAATAGATGGCACTGCTCAAACCAAACAAAAAAAAAAGACTATTTCTGTTACGCGTTTGACCAATTCAGTTGCAATAACAGCATACATGCCAACTTTTGCGCATTTGGCGTAATATTTTATTTCTATATTTAAAGTGGTAGTAAAATGTATGCTTTCTATACATTCCTTACATTTATAATCTTTTTGACCACAACTATTTTGAAACAATTTAAGTATATATATATATATATGTTATACTTTAGTAAGGTTTATCAAACTGCAGCGTATGTTACTGCCTAAAATTGCAATTTAAATTACTTTTTACTACCACTGGGAAAAGGATTAAAAGTTGGCAGGTATAGCACAAGCAAATGTAAATTTTACCGTCAAATTGCATCATTATCTTATTGCAAATGGTGGTTATTTTAAAAATTTCATATATTTTCCCAGTTCGAAACGCCATCTGTTGAAGAACTTGCTAACTAATTGTTAAACTTATTGGCATAGGAATTCTTCAATTTCATAAGAATGCAGATAACCGTGCACTTCTATCATCTTTCGTTTCTTTCTAAATTCCTTTTTCAAATTGTCTGTTATTATGGATCCCGAGAGCAAACTTTTCGACAATCACTTTAAAATGTTTAATTTTAATAGGAAAACTGTATGACACAGTGATCAGTGATTTGTATTCAGTGGAAAAGTAACTGAACATTTTGCTTTCGTTACACGGTTAAAATAAAAACTTGACTTTAATCTGCCTGTTTCTTGAATATAAGCTATGTTAAAATACTGTAAATACAACGTTTTTATCACAAATAAATAAGAGCGAGTGATAGATGAGCATTTCGATACTAAGCGTGAATGTAATTAGTTCTGAGCAAAGCTGCCAACTACCATCCGTAGTAATTCATTTCTATATTTAAAGTGGCAATTAAATGTGTCTTTAATTTTTTGAGTTGATAAATTTAATTTACTATTTTGATTGCCACTACATTCAAATAAATCAATCTCATAGCTAAAAGCAAGTTATTGATTCCAATTAATGAAATGTTTACAATACATTGCCAACTTTTTTGTAATTTTCTATATTTGGGGAAATTCTTCCTGTGATTGTATATAAGTCGGAAGGTCAGGTCCCAGGTCAATGCCATATATATATATGAAGACAAAAAAAGTGAAAACTGGTTACAAAATTTACTTTATTTTTTAGCCTATTTTCGGAAACTATAAAATATCCATCACTACCAAAAAATTAAAAAAGTTAAAAAGAAAAAGTTAATTGCAATCACTTTCAGGCCTGTCCAAGGCACAGAAGGATTCTTAGTCTCCTTACTCGCTGATTGTACCAAAGCGGTCCCGCAGTGGACTGATCGTTAAGGCACGGTTCCCAGCAGATCACCGAAGTCAAGCATCACTGGCTGCGGTCAGTGTGCGGGTGGGTGACCACTTGGATCAGTCTGCGTGGAGATCGAGGGTGTGCGGTATTGGTCCTCGTTAAACTGTTCTACCGTAAAGTGCTCGACTTCGCGTGCAGGTCGTCGGGCTACCGAAACGGGGGTGCCATCTCTGCAGAGGATCAAAATTGTGATGGCATGTCTTCGGATCATCCTCAAGGATGTTTCCCAGACCGTCGCCAATAGCCCATTGTGCAGCTCTAGTGCGACGTAAACGAACTACAACAACAACAACTCTACCAATCCGATTATACAGCTCCGATACTTGTTTATTTGTAATTATTACGCTGTTACTACATTATTTTACTTTCAGTACAAAGAGAATCCTACTTCTTTTGGATACAAACTGTATTGCCAATTATAATAAAAAAATGTTGTGTTCCATTTCAAAAAGACTTGATTTTATTTTTCAAGAAGGTATGACAACATGTAATCTTCCATAAATAATACTCTTCATGATCAACTTATTTCAAATATAACAGTCGGTAGTGGCAAGAAAACTGATTTTATAAAAAACAAAATGAAGAGACACACTGTGCTCTAAAGAATTCGTGATTAAAAAAAACCCTACATGTTAAAAACTTATATTTGTTTAGTTAATCATTTAAATATGGTTTTTTTTATTTTAAACTTAAAGAACTAAAAGAAGAAAATATTTTTTTAGTATTATAAAACTTGGAACAACCTGCTATTTACCATTTTCTAATATTTCCGGAAACGTGTATTGTATTAATGAGTCCCGAGGCTCAAAATGTTTAATAAAGAGTTAATTCAACAAGTTAAAAAAAATTTTATTACAAGGCAATGATCTTTTGCCAACTACAACAGAAAGCCTTCATTCTGTTTTTCAAAGGTAGTTGGTATAGACTACTTAATAAGTGAACCAATTTGCCCCAAAACTTTCGCATATAAAATTCCGCTTTGGAAATTAATCTTATTTCAATATTTATACAGTGATGGTTAATAAGGAAGAAAAAAATTCATGTTTCCAAAAAAGGATAAGGATATACTTTGTGCTAAGTAGACTAAGGTAAAAAGAAATGGGGGGAAATATTAGCGATGAAAGTGCAGAAAAGGAGAGATTATAAATCTAATTCCATAAACAAAGAACATTCCTTGGCGTCTAAACACCAAATGATGGCTGAAAAGTAAAGAGACGAACGTTTGCAAAGTGGTTCATCGAATGGGGACAGAGGCACAAGTTTCAACAAAATAATAATAAAATAGGGAGATAAGAAAAAGAGAGCATTTAGCGAGAATTCCAGTGTTCAAGAGATTAAATTTCCTCCCTTAAAAACCCCATTACTGATATTAATAGCTGGGACGTGTGCCAAATTTCGCGTCAATGCGGTCTTGCGTATATTCAACAAACTAAACGTACCCTTAAACATCGACTTAAAGAACACGAAATATTTGTTCAAAATCAAAACATTAACCGATCTTTTATCGATATAGTTGGAATTCTAATCACAGGTTTGAGTTTTCTTCTGTTAAAATAATTCAAAATTGTTCTTGACTTGAATTGACTTAATTGACTTGACTTATGGGAGTCATTCCATATTTTGATAATTTTTCATAACTTAATGATCTTTCTAATATCCCACCGTTTCCCAATATTTGAAAGTCTATTCTAATTTAATCTGTTGCGCCCTGAGATTACTGCCAAATCCTCTCGCACCTGTTTCTTATTTCCCTATTTTATTATCTTCTTTAGACTTGTTCCTCTGTTTCTATTGGTTAAACCACTTTGTACATGTTTGTCTCTGCATTTCTCTACAATCATTTGGTTTTTAGATACTGAGGAAGGTTCTTGTTTGTAGAACAAAAACTAAAGACCATTTCCGTACTTTCATTTGTGCTTTATTCACGTTTTTGAGCCACTCTTTTTTTTTCTTCTTTAGCATAAGATATGTATTTGATAACACTGTTTCGTGTTTATCTACTTTGTATAAGCTGGCTAATATGCAAATGTGTTTAATTTTTCAGTGGTCTGATCGTAAAAATAGGTTTTTAAATTATAGAAACTGATGACGGAACAGCTAGAGTGAAGGGTTGGGGATCTATCCCCGGTGGAAACTAAAAGCCCTTCTAGTTTCAAATCAATGTGAATCACGTAGACTGGAAATTAACAGCATCTAGTACGTAATGCTGACATATGTGTCTGCATAAATTTTCTTTAAAATATATTTAGATAGCTATGTTATCGTAGCCTTATGTTTATGACTGCCAATATACATTAGGCTACGATAATACGCTTTCTATATTTTAAGGAAAATTTATCTTTGAAACAGAGAACAGCGAAGACGAATATCGGCACAAGATCCATAAAAATTTCTGGGGTCTTAGCAAAATATAATGAAATTAAACTTCTGGTGAGTACAGTGTTAACAGAAAAAAAAAAGCGCCATTTGACCAGCTTACTCTCTTCTAGAGGTTTTTATTTTTTTCGTTTAAGAGTTTTTAGCAAACTCTTTTAATTTTTTTGTTTTGTTTTTTTGTGAAAATTCTAAAAGAAAGCAGGGTTTTTTTTAGGGAAAAACAATTCAAATTTAAAAAAAAAACTAATTGAAAAAATAGTCATAATTGTGAAATTATAGTTAATAAGAATGCTGTAAAAAATAGTTATTAAATTCTTCAACAAATTCTCCATTTAACATTATTTTATCTCTGTATGGTGGATAGCTTACTTTAATTTACAATTAAAAATTTATTTTTGCTCTATTATTCTGTTTATAACGGTTAAGAATTTTATTTGTTCTTTGAAAAGTACTTACTACTACATATTATGACTAAAGTTTTTTTTTTCCAATTCCCTTCAGTAATTCTCGCGATATAGTTTTATTTTAATCTCTCAAGCAACGCTTATAAATGCAAAAAAAAAAATTCAACAGCTTATAACCAACTGAAATTTTTTTAAATATTATTCTGTAAAATTATTTAACCCTTTAACGGGTCCTTTATTTCTAGTAAAGGTAAATTAAAGTATTTTTGGAATTGAAATTGTTTTAAGAACAGTAATTGATATAAAAAGGAAAAACTCATTTAGTTTATAAAAATGCCATTTATTTGGTTGTAAATATATTTAACATGACCTATTAGGAACTTACTGACTTTTATTTTTCTTTATTTATTAAATAAATTCCTTAAATGCTACAAACTTCAAAAGGAATTATGTATTTTATAACTTTTATACGTTTTTTAAAAGTGACAAATGGTTACCAATTTTATTCAAACTCACTTCAAGAAAGCTGAAGTTATTGAAAAATGGAAACCTAAATTAAAAGTGGTAAAACGTGGTGGTAAGTATACTTTCCACGGTCTTCAAAAGGGTTAAACTCATAAAACCCTAATTAAAACACAGTATCAAAATATAATATTAACTTTCACTTTTTTTGGGGTGGATGGAAGTATGACATAATTTGCTTCAAAAATATCTTTTGTAAACTCAACTATATGCTTACTTATGACTTCTGTAAGTTGATATATTTAGGACGAAAAAGTAATCCTTTACAAATTAGTACATTTCTGATATTAATAGTAGTAAAATTTACATTATTTCGATTTCAACCAATCTAGAGTTAATAATTTTGATAAGGTTAAAATCAATATAGTTTATGAACGGAAATACAGAAAACAAGAAATAAAAAAAAAGAAAATTACAATACGGCAAGTTTTAAAACTATCTTACTTGAATGATTTATTCTAACTAAATAAATTAGTTGTAAGACTTCTCCCTTTTTTATTATTTTTACGATATAAATAGTATAATAAATAAAATTTTGAAAATCCCTCCAATCTTCTCACCTAAAGTGGCTGGGTGGCGCAGTTGGTTTGTCTTCGGTCTTCTGAGCCCAAGTCTGCGGGTTCGATCCCCGGCCCAGACACCGGATTTTCGGGATGCAGAAAATCCTCAGCGGCCATGTGTCGTATGATTATGCAGCATGTAAAAGATCCTTGGAGTGCCTTATTGGCTCTTGGCATTTCCGGCAAAATTAAATTCCTAGTGCACTTTAGCATCCAAATAGAGTCTCGGTGCTGCCATCTAGTGTGGCAGAAACTAGACGTCCAAATTAACATGACCAACGGTATCTCACCCATTGTGGTGGTCCTGAAAGAGTGGATACCACTTCTGGAGAACGCACTAGGTCTGCTCATGTGTGCGCACTTGGGCAGCTCATTGGAAATAAAAATCTTCTCACCTAAAAAATTTGAATTGAATTAAATGTAAGGTTTATTGGCCAAAAATCCAAAGGAGGATATTCGCCAAACAACGCGTTATAACGGATCAAAAGGAAAAATGTATATTACAATTTTATCTTTTTAAAATACTTTGGCGAGTTAAGTATATTTAAAAGTCAATAAAATCTGATAAAAGCCTAATTACATAAAATAGGCAAAACTGTACACGTTTAATAAATAAGAGTAAATAAAATCAGATAATACCTGCTACATACAATATAAAATACCAGTTGCAAATTAAAAAAATGTTAGGATGATGCATTTCACCCAGCAAATCCTTCATACATAAAACAGTGCTATAACACGATGTCGGTTAAAACAGGGACAAATGTGGTGAAGCGTAAGTAAAACGTTACAAGTGTCGCATTTAGGAGAAGGTTCTCCGAACAAATGAAGATGGGTAAGTAGCTGGAATGCAGGAAATGATCTCGGCATTTGGCGACGGACGTTTTCAAGCGCCACTAACCGATTCGTCGAAATTGGACAGTCATGAAGTAGAATTTTTCAAAAGTTGAAGAAAATCAAGTCCTTATTGCAGTGAGTCTTGACTTGAAGTAGTACATCATTGGGAAATGGATTAGTAGCAGGGCTGAAAGTCCGTAAATAGCAAGGCGGAAATGAGAAAAACTGGTAAAAAAAA